CCACCGTGCCCCGCGGGGTAGGCACCAAGCTCAGCGGGCGCCGGCCCCACAGGCAAGCCCCAGCGCCCCTCCTCCGGCAGCACCCGGGCCAACTTACAAGCTCCTGATGTTGGATTCGGGAGGCTGAGGATCCGCGCAGCCTGCGCCGCGGGCTGGGAGCCAGGAGCCCTCCTCGTCACCGCTGCGGCACCACGGAGCGGGGGAAACTGCGCTGAGTTACGTGCTCACCACGGGGAGCGCCAGAGCCACCCCCGGGGCTCCCTCTCAAGCCAAGCGGTGTCCCCCGCAGCGCCGGGGGCACACAGACCAGAGCTGCCATCCCCACGAGTCGTCCTTGGGCTGTGACCCAAAGCCCCAGCTGGGGGCAGCGGTGCCCGTGTCCCAGCCCCGGCTCGGTGACCTCGGGCCACAAGGCTCTTCAGACACCAGCTTCAAACCCCCCGGGGCTTGGTCACCAGGTGCTGTCCCCCCAGTTGCCACAGCAGTGAAGTCTTCAGGCACCTCACATCCCACATGGCAAGTGTGTGCTTCTCGGTGGCACCTGCCCCATAACTGGCACCAATGGCTGTGGGTTGGGGTCGAGGTGGGTGCCACCCTGGCAGCAAGGTGGGTGACAGCCAGGCCTCCCATGGGAGTGGGGTGACATGCAAGAGGTGACCCCAGGGCAGCACTCCTACAGCATCGGCTAACCTCAGCAGGCAGGGAGAAGAGCAGGCAGGACCCAACACCCCCAGACCCCCCCGCTGCCAGCAGAGACCCCCATGCATCAAGCAGCAGGTTTCAGTAGCACAGAAGAGCTCAGCTCCATTCAGCCCTTTATTAAAGCCCCTAAAAACAGTGAGATCCAGCTCCCCTCATGCCACGCAGCAGCTCCAGCACAGGCTTTGCCCCCCCTCCACCAGCAGACACCCAGGGCTGGTGCCCGGCAGGGTGCTCCCCTCCCCAGGGTGAGAAGTCTGTTGGAGGCAGTGCTGCCCACACACGCCTTGCAGAGCCTCCAGGGAACATCTCTACTGTCATCTTCAAAGGCTCTCCACTGGCCAGCCTCCAACCCACAGCGCAGGGACCAGCCGGTGCTCCCAGTGCCACCACCTTTTACCATAACCATGCAGGGACAAGTGGCACTGGGCCAGGCCACGTGTGACTGGTGACAGGGAGAGGCGAGCAGAGCAAAACACCAACTGCAGACGTGAAACCTTTGATCTCTGGAGGGAGGCAGGGAGGAGACAGCTCCTGGCCTAGGGGAGTTCCCTTCCTGGGCGTCACACAGGTGGAACCACGGGAGCCTGCCAGTCGCCATCCACCCTGCTCAGGAGGCTCCTGGCCACTGTGGCCAGCCGGACTCACCTGCTCGCCGACTCCTCCGTCGTTCCCAGCATTTTAGCTCTGATTTTTTTTCTCTGTCTTTTGATATTTGACTTCATTGCATCCAAGAAGAAGCTGGGAACTCTCTTTTCGTTCAGCAGCTCCCTGGCAAAAAGCAGCCAGCGGTTAACCGAGACCCTGGCAAAGAACTCTGCCCTGGCTGCTCTAGGAGTGGCCTCTGATGGGCCCCGGGTGGCTGCAGGGACAGGAGGGACCCAGTTTGCTGTCCCACGGCACTGCAGCAGGACTCACCGCTGGTAATAAGCCAGCTCCTCCTGCACCAGGAACAGGTTGGTCTTGAGCTCGTTCCGCTCCTGCAGGATCTGCTGCAGCTCTTCCTTGGAGAAGCAGCAGTGAGCAGGGCTGCTGCCCACATCTGAACCTTGGTGCTGGGGCTCCTCCATGGGCGATGCTGCTTCTTCCTGGGGGGCAGAAAGGGAGTCAGCGGGCAAGCAGAGACCCCGAAGCCTCCACACAAAGGCTGGGTGCCACGTGCAGGCAGAGATGGAAGAGTCACAGGGATGGGTCTGCTGGTCTGTAGTCACTGCAGCCATCCCAGGACCATGGTGGTTCCCCAGCTCTGCCAGCACCCGCCACCCATCACCAAAACTGGCAAACCTTCCACATCCTCCGAAGCCCACCCGGCTTTTCCTCATCTTGCTCAATCCTACCTCCACTCCTGCCAATTTTTATGGACCCTTATCCACAACACCTTTATGTTACTGGTTTCACAAACACCATGCTGTACAATTTTCAGCAGTGGGGCTTACTGGAGAGGCCATGTCCTGCTGGCAGCCCCATGGAGGGCAGAGATCGGGTCAGCATTTGCCATGCCCTGCAGCAGCGGGGCCACTGGCTCAGACTCACCAGGCTGGGCTTTGGCTGCTGACTCTCAGAGGTGGCCCTGCTCCTCCTGCTCATTTCCCTCTGGGTCTGCAGCATGGCAGCCTCCAGGTCCGACTTCTTCTCCAGGGCGCTCTTGAGCTGAGCCTGCACCACGGCCACCTTGTGACGCAGCTCCTCGTTCATGGCCATGAAGCGGTGCAGTTGCTCCTGCAGCTGGAGGACGTGGGGCAGCCAGGAGTGAGGCACAGCAGCAGCTCTGGGCCCCCACCCAGGGACATCAGCACACACAGAGCCACACGAGAGGCATCTGCCCCAGCAGGCTCGCCAGCCACCACAGCCCCAGGGGGAGGTGACATGAAAGCAGGTCCCCAGGCCCTCCACACCTGAGCTCCCACACACTCACCGCCTCCGTGTCCCGGCTCTTGCAGATGATCTCGTGAGCCTGGGCACGAAGCTCATCCCTCTGCTTGTCCACCACCTCCTTCAGCCTCAGCATCACCTCCCGCTCCTTCCGCGCTGTGCTACCTGAGCCCAGACGTGGGGGGAACAGGCGTGAGTGGCCCCCAGGACTCCCCAGACCCACACCACTATGGGGCCTCTTGATGCTTCTGCAGAGCATCGTTCTACCATCGCTCCTGGCAGATGACAGAGTAGGAACAGTGGAAAGAGGCTTGTGCTGGCAACAGCAGCCTGCACCGTGTCTGCCCACACCACACTCCTGGGGGCTTGGGGAGTGCTCTGGGGGTTTGTGGTCCCTGCAGCTTGCTGAACAAGACAACGCTTGTGCTCCCTGGTAAGGCAGGTCTCCAGGCTGAGCAGCTTGGAGAGCAGGGTCAGACATGCACCCGGGCCATCATCCCCATGGGAACGCCCCGTGGTGGCGGGAGGCCCCAAACCCCCTG